GTCTATTTTCGGACGAGTACGTTGATTAGATCATTTTGGTCTTGTTAACTATATTCTTCCGTAATATGTGGATACCCTAAAATGTTGGATACAGCAGAATGATGATGCAAGATCCATTTTTTGTTGGGCCCGCCGGTTGACACTCGCTCGTCTCGCTACTGCTGTATGAGATTATGTTTATGCATGCCACAGCAGTGTTACGAATCAGTCTCTCTGAGTCTTGTCCCTACGTTCGTTTGGGGATTGTTCGGGGGTTGATCTTCGAGTGCATGCATCGGAACAGACAAAATGGGCACTCACGAAATACTTCCACGCAACAAACAGCACATTACATTGCCCCGGGGGTCTAGTGGGTAACCTCGCAGCCTGCTAAGGGCCAAGTCATGGGTTCGAGTCCCGGCAGAGTGATTTTTTTCTCACTACATAAATCCTGGTCTAGGATCAAAGCGACGCGCTGCAGAGCTCGTTGTTAATGAACCGTAATCGACTTCGTACGTCGCGAGGGAAGGGATTTTGCTGTTGTACCCTTCTAGCGATAAAAATACCTCAGGCAGGAACCGCAGGAGGGGGTCCAGCCCCCCCCTCCTATGTGACCCCGGTTGGGTCGTCTAGCTAGTAGAAGTGGAGGATAGGGCCAGAGGGGCAGACGACACTAGCTAGTAGAAGTGGAGGATAGGTCCCATGATGGGAGAAAATATATATATATGGACCACCATGGGAAGGGGGGCGCAGACGATATATAATGCGGTATGGTATACAGCAGTCGCCTCCCGCATGTACGTTGCTTTGAACGCCACGACTTGTATTTATGTACCACTTGTGACGATCAAGATCAACTATATTTACAGTCCAGGGGGGTAACCGAACACATGGTAATTACAAGTCTACATAGGCTACATGTGATTATATATAATATTTATCCAGCGGAGTTCGATGTGTTGTGCACTTCGAAGTAATCGGCAGTGATACAGACAAAATATACAACTAACTGTGTGGTTACTTTCTAAAAAAGATACAACGAGTTTTCGCAGAAGCGAGCGAGGGAATTTTCTCACCCGCCCGCACCTGTCATTGACGTTATCAACCAACGAAGCTTGTGAGTTTCTCCTGCTGGCCTTCCCAGACGGGGATTTAACATGCCCCCACGCGCCAGGAATCCCAGTAGGCACATATGCATGCTCCTTCAGCCCACATTGACAAGCGGATGGATCATCATTAGGATGGTTATGTCGATCAAGAGGAAGCGGATACGCAAACCAAAAGTGGGCGTGTGGTTCCTAGACAAATGCCCTGCTTTTTTCCGCCATAAAACCCTGCCAGCCGAAACCTGGTGCATCTCCAAACCCATTCCTACCCCGCCTCCCCATCTCCTACACGCCAAACAAAACATTATCACAACGCCCCCCCTGAAGAGAGCCTACTTAGGCCTGCTGTAGTACCATCTGTACACCATGTGTTGGGTCACTCTTCCCCCTCCATTTCGAACAAAACGGTTTAGAAACCCATCTCAAGAGAAACCAACAAAACGGCAAACCAATCACAAGAGAAAACAACGAAACAGAACAAATACCCTTCACAAGAGAAAACTAAAGAAACAAACGGAATATCCATCACAAACAGAATCAAGGACACGGTAAGCCCGCACAAAAAGGAACCGACGAAACGGTGAATCAACCGATCACAAACGAGACCAGGTAATGCTGAGGCTCTGGAACAAAGTACTTGCACCTGCTCACACACGAAGATGTGGTCGCACAATCTATCGGCTTCCTCTGTCGTGAGGAATGCTACTGAATAAAATATTTCCTGTCCCTTGAGCACACGAAGATAGAAGAAATGTGTACGTACCAACAACAATGACAATACAAGCGTACAAGGTCCTCGTGTACACACACGCGACCGACAAATGTTGGCGGGACATCTCATCGAGTGCCATGCACACCAGCTCTTTTCTTCCATCCTGAAGGCCCTCCTATGCAACCAAGCAGAGCACAACGACACAGCCTTTGGAACATGGTTGTTGTTGGAGGAGGCGTTTCCGAGTATTGTCTATGCGGTACCGGTCGTTCAGGGTCCTCGGCCCTTCTGGTAGGGGAAGGCATCAGATCAGTGCGGCCATCGTTCCCCGACCATGCCTAAGATAACAATATCAAACGCAAGTATATACTTCTGTTCTGCGCTTTCTTCTATGCTTCCCTCTCTCAGACGAGACTACTGCTGCCTCTAGCTTCCCGAGGATGCCGGTCACGCCAATCAGCGTATCGCAGCCTCCAACTAAGTCCGAACCATGACAACAACTAGAGTGTACCGCGGGGGCTCCTTGTACATCATCTGGGCGATACTATGAGCGGCGACACCCGTAGCAGACAAATAGTACAATGTGTCTCTATCAGGCGAGGGCTGCTCATCCGTGTGAGACTGTCAGCTTCGGCAGCCAATGAGCATCTTCGGCAGCCTCCCAAGACTAAGGCTATCAGCTGAACGCTATCTCTAACACGCAGGCTGCTTGGTAAGCATCCGTACGAGACTGTCAGCTTCGGCACCCAATGAACATCCTTCGAAGACTAACACAAATCTCTCACCAGGCGAGCTAGTTGCTTGTGCATCCCGGCGAGACTTTCGGCGAGACTGTCAGCTTCGACGACTACCAACACTATCTTCTGCCATGCGATTGCTCCTTGTCAATCACGTCACGGCGAGACTGTCAACCTTCTGGTGGTGCCCCACCAACCCCATCCTACCTTCGACAGCCTTCTACCAAGACTAAATCTCTACCAGGCGGTTGCTCCGTGGTAAGCCATCCGCGTGCGAGACTGTCAGCTTGGGCAGCCAACCAGGCGGGCTCTGTACATCCTGGCGAGACTGTCAGCCTGCCGGGGATGGCCCACCAACCCCGTCCGACAGTCGACAGCCTTCCGAGACCAAGACTACATCTATCAGGCGGTTGCTCCGTGGTGAACCATCCGTCCGTGCGAGACTGTCAGCTCCGACATCCTACCAAGCAGGCTCCTTGTACATCCGCGCGAGACTGTCAGCCTCACGGGGGTTCCCCACCACCCCCGTCCGCACCAGGTAGTGCCGGAACCGACCCCCTCGCTGGCTACGACCCCCGCCACGACCGTAACCGCCTCCGCTGAAACCGCTGTAACCGCTGTAACCGCTGTTACCGTAGGGGGGGGCGCAGATAGTATTCTCCTGTCTGCGGTCGGCCTCCCCCTCGCAAAGCTGGGAGAGTGCCGGGGCTCTGTCGAGGGTGAGGGGGGCCGGAAGATGGGCCGATCCTCGGGCGCGCAGGGGCTCGTTGGACAGGGCCGTGCCCTGAGAGGTTCGAACGTTTGGAGATCGCAAAGGCAGGGAGAGCCAAAGTGAAAATTTGTTCAGTTCTACGGTAGGAAACACTTGAAATACTCTTCTATACAAAAATATCAAGAAATAGAGGCTACAAGGTTCCCCTTCAGGACGGGAGTGTCAGGCCCCCCGGGGATGACGCAAGCAGTGAAGGAAGGCTTCATATATCTTAATGTTCGGCATAGCTCGCCCTTATGTAGCCGTTAGAAATATGTCCACATTCGAAGGGGATGGGTTGAATTGTTTTCAGTGAAAGACGGGACTCTTGTTCGCGCGGGGGGGGCATCGTCCATTCGCTAGCGAGGGGATGGTAAAGAGGTAGTCTAGACAGCATCAACACCATGGGAAAAATCATCGTATGTGGGTAATACGTTGCTGGGAAGTTCTCTTCGACATTAATTCTAGTTCGACGGTTGTTTCGCTTCAACAGTGGGGTCCATTTCAACCTCAATCTCGTGTGCACACCGATTACAGAGAGCGCGAACTTCTGGACATTGAGTTACCTTCGGAATAATTTCCGTAATGTACACCGTGAGATCAGTTGCTTTTTCATGTCAGGTTCATGTCGACGGCGATTTCACGTTCGGAAGGGTTTCCCTTGAATTCCGACGAAAATAAGCCACATTTTCGCCCATAACAGCGGTATAATGTAGGAAGGGCTGCAGTTTCATCCGCTTATGCGATTCAAACCGGTATATCGAACTTGCTTCAGCATCAGCGTCGAAAAAATAAGAGCGGTTTCATTCATCCACCGGGCACATCTTCAAACAGCAACCTGTGTCCCACATTAGAATAGGCCAATTCCAACTTCAATGGTTTCACTTCATCAGCAGCTGAACTTCAACAGCGGTTTCAAAATATCAATGATTTTACTCCAGCAGCACGGCGGGAAAAAAACAAGAGTGGTCACACTTTCGAAGCGGTTTCACTTTGAGCGGCGGGTGAATTCATCTGCGGTTCAGTGACGGTTTCATTTTTCCAGCGGTTTTCCTTGAACAGCGCTATCACTGGAGCCACAACGCCATGTACCCCTTCGCGAGCCGTACCGATTCAGCGCAAGAAAAATTCGCACCAAAATGGCACATCTGCACACACTAACAGTAGTTTTTGAGCACACCCACTAGGACACGCCGCAATATGCCAAGCTGACAGTCTCGCAAGAAATTTCGCCGCAAAACGTTACGCACCGAGCAAATGAAGTCCGCTCTGTCGCGACGGCAGTACAGTAGGCAGTGTCCCCGCAGCGCCATCGCCTGCACCCCCCCGCCTCCTGAGCCGGTTGCAACGGCCGCTGCTGCTGCTTCTGCTTTGGTACCGCCATAGGCGTGGTGGGGGTCGGTAGACGGCGAGGGAGTGGAGCCCGCCGCCGCCGTCGCGTCTTGGATGAGCGAGAAGAGGCGGGAGCGCTGATGGCCCTTCTTGCTGCAGACGGATCGGTACCTGGCAGGTAGAGAAAGGTGTTATGATGACGTGGGTGAAGGAGAAAGAGAGAGGTAGAGATCAGGAAGAGAAAAAGAGATAGTAATAGAGCTAGAGCTAGAGCTAGAGCTAGAGCTAGAGGGAGAGAGAGAGAGAGAGAGAGAGAGAGAGAGAGAGAGAGAGAGAAAGGACGACGACCAGACCGTGAGGCGGCGGCCCTTCTACCTGCAGGCCGATCGGTAACTGCATCAAAGTGTGAGTGCCGTGCGCCGTGAAGTGGTTTATGGACGACTTCATGCCATTTCGGGGTCTGTAGTTTGGCATTCTTGTACTTGTGAAGAGAAAGGACTCGAGTTTCTTTCCAAGAACAACTCATTCCGACGGCGCAGGTGCTGACACCAACCCTAACGAAAAAAGCAATACAACCGGGGCCGATGAACACTTGATAGCTGAGACCTACATTCCGTAGGCGACATGACACGAGATACCACACCCTCTGGACCGATTTCGTGTATTGCCGTGGGTTTCCTGCACCATGATGGTATTACCGTAGCATATTGTTGTTTCCGTAGGGGGCATGACACGAGATACCACACCCTCTGGACCGATTTCAAAGCTCCATTACTCCGTGACTACGCACGAAGAGGATGCACAAGCAAAACGATGCGCTACAATACCGGGAAAAGCGCTCTCGCAGTGAGACGGTTCCAAGGCCGGCGTTTTCGGCGCTGCCACGCCTTCTGCTATATGGAGAAATATCGACCTTTGAAAATCGGTCGTGCCGATATTTGTTGCGAAATACTTCCTGCAAGAAAAAGCATGCCCATACCACTTCCAGCAAAACGACGTCCCATGCTATTGTCCAGCAAACTGCTGTCCAGGGGGGGCGGGGCATACGTTTTGCGATATATTCGTGGTTGGTGCTGGTGCTGGTGCTGGTGGTGCTGGAAGTGTATACTGAGTACAAAACACTCACACTTACGTCAAGTCACCTACGGCCTACGGTATCGACGTGCTCACCAATTGCAGGCGCCGTCCCACAGGGTGCGAGGTAGGCCTTCGGCGTTGGTGCACGGCCCCGCGCAACCCTCGTCCTCGATGAAGCTGCAGACGACGAAAACGATTGCGATACCATGGTAGGCCAACAGGGCAAGAGGACGTGGGTGAGGCTTCACAAAACAACCCAGCTGCGCAGGATGAAGGAATAACCCAGCCAGCATGAGAAGAACGTCAAGGGAGGAAAAGAACAAACACAGTGTACTATAGCCTCGAATCGACCCGCTTTGGCGACCCCCTGATCAGCGACATGCCCTGAGTCACGTGGCACCGCCGCACTCCGGTAGTGTGACTGCTATTCCAGAGATGCAAAGTTGTTAGGTCGGCTTAGCGAACTGCCCTGAATAGCGGCCACATTTTGTCGTGACACTGGGGGTCGCTTAACACCCTCCCTCCCATTTCATACAAAAAACACTGTAGCACTGTCCCCAGCGTGAAAGGAAAAAACAAGCACGCGGAGAAGCATTCGACCGACATGATGTCTACATGGTCGCTACACACGCAACAAATCTCAAGGCGACAACGACCCCCGCTCACCCGTGCACCACCCGCGCGTCCTGCTTCGGCCAAGGGGGCCCCGCGATCGTCAAGAAGTGGTCCCCCCCCTGCGCGGGCGGCGGGCCGGCCCCGTCCAGCCCCCTCCCCAGGCTAACGCCCCCGATGGCGTCGGATGCCGAGAAGGTGTCGGCCAGAGACCACGTGTCGGCCACGAGGGAAGCTAGCTCCCGCTCCCGCTCCGCCTGTGCGTGTGTAGGGAGCGAGTACGGTACCGCCGTCGGCGGCTGCTCTGGCAGCGGCGGCGGCGGCGGTGGTTCGGAGATTGGGGAGATTTGGGAGATTTGGGAGACAGCTGCGCTATGCGGCATCTCGTGCTCTGGCTCTGGCGCTGGCGCTGCTGGCGATGGTTTGGTGGAGGAGGGGATGGCTGCTGTTGGTCCGGCCGCCGTCGATTTCGACGTTGTTGCCGCTGCGGAGACTGCCGTTTGTTCGGAGATCTCGGAGATGTCGGAGACGTCGGAGACGACGACGAAGTGCTTCTTTCCGGCTAGCAACTCCGCCGGTTCTGCAGCAGCTGCTGTTGCGGCTGGTGCTTCTATTGCTGCAACGTTTGCCCCATCACCACCACCGTCATCATTACACCCGCCGACAGGATTCTGCGGGCTGCCGTTCATGTTTCCGTCAGCGGTAGCAGAAACATCGGTGGAGGCGTCAGCGGTAGCGGAAATATCGGCGGTGCTAGTGCTGTCGCCATTCGATCCACTCCCTGCTGCTGCTGATCCTTCTGCTAACGTTTCTTCTTCTGCCTCAGCTGCAGCTGGGACCCCACCGTCATCACCACCATCATCATCATCATCGTCCTCCTCGATGACCTGCCGCCTCCTCTTCCTGCCGGCAGAACCCCCCCCCCCCCCCCCCCCCCCCCCAGACGACCTCTTCGGCAGCCCCTCATCATCCTCCTCCTCCTCCTCCTCCTCCTCGTCGTCCTCCTCGTCCTCCTCCTCCATATCCTCGGACGAGGACGATGCCGACGACGAGGCTTCCCCTCCCTGCCCGTCTCCACCGCCCGCTTCTTCCTCGCCGTCGTCCAACGGCACCGGTCCGTACCGACCGTTTACGACCACCGCCTCCTTCCCGTCGCCGCCTCCGTCGCCGCCCCCGTCGCCTTCTCCTCCACAGCCACGCGCCGCCACCCCCCCCTCACGAGCATTCTCCTCAGCAGCGGCGGCGGCGGCGGCGGCGGCGGCAGCGGGATAGTCAGCACCATCACCATCGACGGTCTGAAGACCGGTCTGCGGACCGGTCTCCGAGGAACCCCTCCGCTGCTTCTTCTTCCTCCCCCGCTGTCCCATACCACTCAGTGGTGACGAGGACGACTTCTTCTTTGCTCCCGGGAGTGGGGGGAACGGCGGCGGCGGCGGCCGGTACCGGAGCATCGGGGCGTGCCTCCGACCGAACCGCCACCCGTGTTGCTCCGCCGCCGCCGTGGTCGCGATGATGGAGTCGCTCGCCAAGTCTCCGCCGGCCGCGCCGCTCTCCGCCACGACCACGACCGCGACATCTACGAAACCGATCTCCGACCGGGCGGGGGCGAAGGCCTCGACCAGGGTGTCTGACAGGACTTCCCCGGGGACAGTCAAGTCACGCCCGAACCGTACGAGAACTCGCCGTGTGTTACTCCTCCTAATCTCGTCACCGTCGCCGCCGCCGCCGCCGTCGTCTGCGAGATAATCCCCCTTTCCCGCTGTTTTCCCCCCTGCCTGTTCGAGTTCTCTCCTGCCGGATGCCTCTCCAGTGAAGGAGTCGCCGCCGCTGCCGCTGGTTCCGACGACTCGTTCTACCCCGCCGCCGCCGCCGCCGCCACCGATAACGCTACTAGCACCGCCGTCAGAACCAAGCACAGTGGAAGCGTCAGCAGCAGCGACAGGGTGCGCGAAGTTCCTCCCGGTGATGAGGATGCGGTGGCCTTGACTACTACTCCGGTCCGTCCCCGCAGCGGCCGCCGCCGCCGCCGCCGCCGGCTGCCGTGGGTCCTTGCTTCCGCCGGCAGCACTACCACCGCTGCCGCTGCTGCTCCCCTTGCCGGAGACCGTCACGCCCGCGGAGCCCTTCCGATCGAAGAGAGGGTGCACCGCATCGGCTTCGACGGCGGTGGTATGCACGAACGTCGGGGACACCGCCCAGACCTCCGGCCACCGCCGAAAGAACGGCACCTCCCAGCGGCCATCGCCTCCGCTGTTCCCCTCTCCCAGGCTCACGGCAACACTTTCCTCGGCGGTAGAAGAAGTAGTAGCAGTAGTTGTCGCACCCATCATTACCCCTTGACCCTTTACTGCCGCGGCGGCGGTGCGTCCGTGAGCCCCCGTCCCCGCCCCCGGCGCCAAACACGCCTCCGTCGTCATCCCTTGACTCGGTGCCGACGCGGGGTGCGTTGCTATTCCCATTGTCTCCGGCGGCGCTAAAGACGCCTCTTCCTTTGCCGCCGTAGCCGCCGCGACTGCTTGCTCGGCGGCAAGTGCCGGGAGGAAGGTGTCGAACGCGAGGGCGTGCGAGGCCGCGTAGTCGCTGTCCACGTGGTGCGCCAGGTGCCGGCGGCAGCTCGCCTCCCCCACCCACACAACGGCCGGCACGGTCGCAATCGCCGATGGTGACGAGGAGGAGGACGAACGGCCTCCGGAATAGCCCCCAGAATGGTCCTCGGGGCTGGAACCAGCAGCAGACGAGGAGGAGGCCTTGGAGCGGTAGTTCTTGGAACAGTCCTCAGGGCTGGAAGCAGCGGCCTTCGAACCGTTCTCGGAACGGTCCTCGGAAGGTTCCTTGAGGCTGGAACCAGCAGCAGACGAGGAGGAGGCCTTGGACCGGGATCGAGACGACTGCCTGCGTTTGTTGCCCTTCGTGGCTCCTCCCGAAGCGCCGGCGCCGGCGCCGGCGGCCGGTGTAGTGGCGGGGGGGGTGCTCACAGCGCCTTGCCTCAGGGGAGGTGTGGGTTCGGTGATGTCCACCGCGGAGCAAGCGCCGCCAGAAGACGACGACGAGGCCGAAGACCACGTCGACTGCTTGTTCGCCTGCCTTCGTCTGCCCTTGCACGCCTGCGTCGCGGGTCGGGTAGGAACGGATCACGGCAAATTGGTGGTAAATGACGCCGGTTCCTTGGAGAACGAGTACCGGTGGGATCGGGTAGCAGCATGGTTATAATGACGCCGATTCTCAGCAAACGGCAAAATACGATTAGGCTGTTTGCTTTTTTTGCTCTCTCTCACTCTGGGAAGGGTCTACATAACGGAGAAAATATGCAGATCTGAGCGCCCTCTTGCGACCTTTTCTTTTTCCCAGGCCGATTCATTTTTTGGGATCAGGGCCCGATGGTGTGACAACGCCCTCAACCTTCACAAGAATATCAGAGCCCCCTCTACTCAGAGAGTCGAGGGTACCCAACCCTGCTATAGCGGTTAGAGTCCGTCACAACCGATTTCGACCCTCTATTAAGGTACCCTGCACTACGAGCAGGAAGGTCTAGCTTAATCTTGTTTTGGGGTACCCCCCACTACGTGTATTCTCCCTCTCCACGTCTCCCTCTCCTCTCCCTCTCCCTCTCTCTACCAAATAAATGAGGTCCTGGGGCCAACGTTTTCTTTGCATTCCTCTCTGACAAGAGGCGAATCAACAAACAAGCAAACTATCACGCCGGGATAGTTGCGTCCAAACACGACATCTGTTTCATGAATCTGGAAAAAAAAAGAGCCGGTCTTGTCTTAACAAAAGGTTGGCGCTAGATCGTGGTCCAATACCGTACTGTAAACGCTCGAAATCACGGATTCTTACTACCACACCATCTAGGATGTGGTGCAGTGCCCACCGCGAAGCTATCCAGCTGCTCTTGAACCCAGCCTCCTACGCACAAACCAGGAAAAATCCAGTCCGTTTTTTCTCAACAGAAGGTAAGAATTACGCTAAATCGCGCATCTTTACTACCGTACCTACCGTACCTACCGTACCTACCGTACCTACCGTAAATATATTCATGAATCACCTGGAGAGTGAAGAGGCAGGCGCGGAGGTCCCCCATGTGGTACTGTGCGAGGGCTCGAAGGGCACCGAGAGAGACGTCCAGCCTCTCTGCCGCAGCCACCGCCGTCAGGCAAGCCTCCAGCTGTCATGTCATGCCACGAGACGATAGATGAGTCGTGCACAACACGGCGGGACAGCATTACGCTTCGTTTGCAAGGAAATGGGGCCTCTCTACTTGCGTGGAGAGAATATATTAAACATGCCTCCAGCTGCCATGTCAAGTCAGACAAGAGGGCGGAGACGATAGATAATTCGTGCACAACACAGTGGTGCAGCAATACGCCTCGTACGCAAGGATAATGAACACGCGTCCTATGCAAGGATAATGAACACGCCTCGTATGCAAGGACAATGAACACGCGTCGCATGCAAGGATAATGAACACGCCTCGTATGCAAGGACAATGAACACGCGTCGTATGCCAGGATAATGAACACGCCTCGTATGCAAGGACAATGAACACGCGTCGTGTGTAAGGATAATGAACACGCCTCGAATGCAAGGACAATGAACACGCCTCGAGCTGCCATGCCAGACAAGACGAAAACGACGATGCCATGTTCTTTACTGCCATACAATGAAGTGAGGCTTCAGTGGCACAGGGCATCTTCAACGCAAAAACGCCTACGAAAGATATTGTTCCGTAATCTAGAAAAGGATGACAGCCGCGTTAAAAAAACGAAGCCTGGGGCGAGGCAAGCGCCAGATGTTGCACGGGAAGATGTGACAGGGAACTTGCCGTAGCAATCATCAATCATTAAGAAACAAACGCGTGACAAGTGTATTGCACACTTGGAAGTACTGGAACTTGCCGTAGCAATCATCAATCATCAAGAAACAAACGCGTGACACGTGTATTGCACACTTGGAAGTACAACTCTTGCCAAGGGTGACAGCACGCAAAAACAACAATAGCAACAACCTCCAAGAGGTCGTGAGCCTCACCTCAGCCAGCCTGGGGCGAGGCAGGTGCCAGATGTTGCACGAGAGGGGGGCGTACTCGCGCCTGTACGTCTCAGCCGTGAGTATGACGGGGCACTTGGCCGCCCTCCGGAGGTCCCTGAGGGCACCAAGAAAGCCTACGTCCTCCTCGAACACCACGTCCACTTCCTGAAACATGAGAAACAAACAAAAAAAGTGCACTTTCTGAAACATGCAACAACACTTCCTGAAACATGGAGGAAAAAAAGTTCCACTTCGTGAAACATACCTACAAGAATAAAGTCAACTTCGTGAAAAATGACACAAAGAAGCAGTAAAACATCGTGAACCATGAAATAAAAACGGTCCACTTCCTGAGACATGCAAAAAAAAATCCACTTCGTGAGAAACATGATAGCCATCACGTGCCATGCGTACCTCGAAGAGGATGAGGGTGAGCTTGTTGCCGGCGGGAGCCACCACGCGCATCACCTCCGCCCCCTCCCCCGCAACACCACCGGCTCCTTCACCCCCCCCCCTATCCCCCCTTCCTCGCCCTCCGC